ATGGGAACATTATGCTTCACGAAGAAAAAAAATTGTAGAGGTCTTCTGGACGGGTTCTTCTCTAATGAAACGTTTCGTCTCTCCTCCAAGAGACTTCTTCAGTCTGAGAGTTTCAGGCAAAATTCAGGCTTTTAAGCACTGCTTCCATGTGACTGATACTCACATCACATGGCTAACGTTGACACCTAATTAACACCTATTGTTAACAGGGGGTGGAGTGATACTGGATATAGCAGCGCTGTAGGAGGGGGACAACTGAAAACGGAGGCCTCCGCTATTGCCAGTATCACTCCACCCCCTGTTAACAATAGGTGTTAATTAGGTGTCAACGATAGCCATGTGATGTGAGTATCAGTCACATGGAAGCAGTGCTTAAAAGCCTGAATTTTGCCTGAAACTCTCAGACTGAAGAAGTCTCTTGGAGGAGAGACGAAACGTTTCAATAAAGAAGAACCCGTCCAGAGGACCTATACAATTTTTTTCTTTTTAAACTCATGACTATTGCTAATTGCTATTGCTACAGTGTAGACGAAAAAATTTCTGTTGTTCTTTTCTTGAATCCTACATTTATATTTGGAATATAGACCCCTGCTCCAGTATGGCCTGATTCTGGATCTTTCGGTCCATCTGTAAATAAAATAAGTTTAAAATAAATTTTCCTTTATTTTTGATTAATTTAAACAAAGATAAATCAACAGAAAGGTTAATAAATAACCAATGAGGAACAGAAGAACAATTAACTATGGACATAAATCTAGTACATGTAGATGGTATCTTCTTCTTCTTCGTCTTCTTCTTCTTCTTCTTCTTCTTCTTCTTCTTCTTCTTCTTCTTCTTCTTCTTCTTCTTTGCTTTTTCATAACAAATTGTGGTGTGCATTACAGCCAACTATTAGAATGGAGTGCGGGTCAAAATGACTGCCTAATGTCAACTTTAATGCCTGTATTGTTTATTTACTTGTTTGTTTGTTTGTTTTGTTTGCTTGTTTGTTTGTTTGTTTGTTTGTTTGTTTGTTTGTTTGTTTGTTTGTTTGTTTGTTTTATACGTGTTGTGATTCCTGTCCTTTCTTTGTCCTTTGTACTTGCATTTCTTAAAATCTTTTCCCAAAAAAACGAATTCCATGATCATATTCTGTTAATAAACTTTGTTTTCTTGAAGAACCTTATTAAAATTTGAATACATTTGCTTTCTGAATCTGTAATAAGATTGATACGTTAAATGTTTCTTAAATCTTTCTGAATTCCTTCATCATGTATTGTCTCCAGCTTTCACTTGCATATGAAAATTACATTTTCTATTGTTTCTGATACGTTACGTCACAGTAGAAGAGCATGAGGTGAGACGGTCGCTGCAAGCTGCCAACCCTAAGAAGGCCGCTGGACCCGACGGAGTCTCTGGTCATGTCCTGAGGACCTGTGCAGTACAGTTGGCTGAGGTGAGGTGAGATCTTCAACTTGTCACTGTCTCAGGTCACAGTCCCATCCTGCCTGAAGTCCTCCAACACAGTCCCCATTCCGAAAAAAATCACCCATCACCTCCCTGAATGACTACAGTCCAGTGGCACTGACCCCCGTAGTCAGTGGCAGATCTAAAAAATTTTCCATTGGGGGGGCGGGGGGGGCAACTGTAGATCCACCCCTGTCATGAAGTGTCTGGAGCAGTGGTTCTTAACCTGGGTTCGATCGAACCCTAGGGATACGATGAGCCGGTCTCAGGGGTTCGGTGGAGCCTCTGCCGCAGAGGTAAAGACACACTTGTGTAAAGTTGTGATGACACGCCCCACTTGGCCATCACTTGCTGTCAGAGAGATTTCTTGGCCAATCAGTGC